TCTATGATTAACCTCATCCTTCACAAATCCATCATTTGGTCCTTTAATTTTGTCCCCTAGGGTGCGACTAGTACTTCAGGTACCTACTTAATGCTAGGTGAACAGGGGCAGTAGGCGTCAAGAAACATGCCCAACGTTGCACTCGTGCCGGGGCACGACCCGGGTCCTTCAGTGTGTGAAGTGAGGACGCTATCAAGTGAGCCACGAAAAATATTGAGATTTCTTATCGTGTGTTTAGTTTTTGCTGTGGGTTGGTTTGTGCCACTGATTACTGTTTGGTTTACACTGAGAGCTGGTGTATCACTGACCACTTTGTTTACACTGTGGGTTGGTATACCAGTGACCAATCTTTGTTTACACTGTTGTGCCTGTATTTTGATCCTGGTTGTACGAACGTTTTGCCATACGCATGGCTTAGACGACATAGTATGCTGAGTAAGCTTTTACTGGGACATCGTTTCGCTCAGGGTAGCTCTTTATGAAGACATGACTTAGTTTTTTGGGTCACTGTCCACGCGGGCTGGTGCTAGGCCGCGGAGAGGGCCTGATCAGTTAGGCTATTCGTGCTAGCACCAGACAGTATTTTCATTGTAAGAAGCGTGTGGGTGTTTAAGGAAGGACAAGTGTGTTAATGGAGTGTGTTTGTTAAACAGAGGTGCGGACCTGACTGACCTCTCAATGTGCAGGTGTCGGCTACGTGACACGCATAGTGATTACTGCATGGTATTCAGCGCTACGCCAGACACATAGTGATTCCTGCATAGTGTGGTATTCAGGCACTGGTGGAGACTACCTGAAGGTCGTGTGGGTGGGTACGTGTACGCACCCAGTTGTACTGACCGAGTTGTGTTAGCAGGTAACGAGACTCTTGGCCCCGCCTCTTACACTACTTTGATCGGCATCATTGGTTTCTAGCTTACCATACTTACTTTTAAAATCTTATCATACATATTTTAAAGCTTCATTACTGCCTCATCTAAGTCATTGTACTTTTCAGCTAAGACCCAAGTCAGGAAACACATGTCCTGTTTCCTGACAAATCTTAACTAACCTAAGCACTCTGTGACTTAACGAAATACTTCCTTACGTCTCTGTAGGTCATCTGTGTTTTCAGTTTCCACCTGTTCTTTGATCTTGGTCCTCTTAATTCACACAATCTATCCTTATCAGTTTTATCAGTTCTTAAGATTTAGTATGTCTAATCATGTCTTTCCTTGTTCTTTCCGCCAAGGTCGACAAATTTAATTCCTTTGTCCTCTCTTTATAGTGCATTCCTCTCAGTTCTGGCATTGGCCTGGCTGCAAAGTTTTCGATGTTTTTTGTATTTTTTCATGTGCTTGACCAGGTGTGGGCTCCATATTGGAGCCGGGTACTCACTGATTGGGTTAACTTATATCGTAAACGTATATAAGGTTCAGTAGTGAAAGTGAGAGAAGTTTTTGTTAACTAGTGTGTGAGCAAGCGAGTGGAAAAGATTAACGAATGTTATTTTTTCTGTCCTTTTATCGTGGATTAAAGAGAGAATGAAACTTACGACGACATCTCGGCCCGATTTGGATCGTTAACTAGAACATTAACTAGTCCAAGTCGGACCGAAACGTCGTCATAAGTTGCATTGTATGTGCAGGTTATTTGTGTTTTGTACCAGTCACAGTATTTTGCCTTGTTACTCTTTTCTTTAAAGAATAAAGAGTTATTTCTTATATATACTGTATTTTGGTGGCTTCCTTAGGTACTGATCAGCTGATTTTAACTGACGACGAAGTCAGCCCGCACTATTTTCACTTTTAATTCATTCCACCTCTTTACTGCCTTAGACTAAAAAAATGCTTCATTTCCTGTGACTCACGTGTGTTTTTAGCCCCTGTCTATGACCCCTGTACCTGTTCCTCGCATTGTAAACAGTCTGTCCTTATCCGCCCCATCAGTTCATCTGAGTGCGTCTCTCTCCGTCTGTGTACTCGTTGGTCGTGGAATAAGACACAGATAAATGGTTCAGAGAACCGACAATTTGATAAATTAGACACATGTGCAACACTTGAGTATCTTTATTGAGGAAACGTTTCGCCACCCAGTGGATTCATCAGCCCATGCAGAGGAGAATGATGAAGAACAGGAGTTTGAAGGACTGATTACCTCAAACTACTCCTGTTCTTCATCATTCTCCTTTGTATGGACTGACCAAGCCACTGTGTGGTGAAGCGTTTTCTCAATAAAGATACCCAAGTGTTGCACATGTGTCTAATTTATCAAGACATATACAGCTCAGGACATTTATTAAAGGAAACATTTCGCCACGAGTGGCTTCTTCGGTTCATTAGGACTGAAGAAGCCACTTGCGGTGAAATGTTTCCTCTAATAAATGTCCTTAACTGTCGGTATCACCATACTGTTTATTTTCACTGGTTGATTGTCTTGTTGTTTATAAGGGTTGGTTGGTGTGTTTAGTTTGTTTGGTTGGTGTAGTTGCTTTATTTAAAGTTTATCCAATGCAAGTAAGTCACAAAGGCTGCATTTCTCTTATACACCAACATTTAAGAGTACTCTGATCTCATAAAGGGATGAAAGATAATTCAGTGTATATACTATTAGGGATGTATATATGTCTCGATATATAAATCTCAGTTAATATACACAGATATATACACCTCGTTTTTGTATATACCCTATTGTGCCTTTGTTTACCTATTGTGTTTAGGGGGCAGATATATCTTGATTGGCATGTTTGCGTGCGTGTGTGTGTGTGTGTGTGTGTGTGTGTGTGTGTGTGTGTGTGTGTGTGTGTGGCAGGGAGGCAGGTGTGGCGTGACTGACGCACGTGTGTGTTGGGAGGGGACATGATTTTATGAACTATGTGTGGTACGTATTGATTGCAGTGTTTCGTCTACATTCTTGTGTTTGACATGTGCGTGTAGCAGACATGAATACTCGCAGCACATCTGGCAAGCAGTGATAGGAATCACCAGCCAGACTTTTGTGCCTACATTAGACTGCCTTCTGTTAGCACCAGTACCCTGACTGACTGGCCAGCAACCAAGGAGGCCTGGTCTTACCAACATTCACATGGATATAGGTTTCGGGAGAGCTCTTTTTATCAACATGTACTTCGATTATTGTAAGAAGGGCGAGAAGGAATGTTAAGAGAGGCAATAACAAAAATAGGGAGAATTTGTCATTTTTAGTGATTATTTAATCTCTCGGGTGTTTGACCCAGTTATGTGAGCCAAAGACACTGATCTTACAAAATACCAGACTTGAGTAAGGGTTTCACTGGGGGTGCCCACCGTATCCATACAAGCATGAATGCAATCACAATAAAACGCGTGATTGTTAATATGTAAAAATACCACAGTGAAAATTGGAAATAAAACCTGAGCGTTTTCATGTGCTTACATACATCTGAAGATATGTGTGTATAAGCACATGAAAACCCTCAGGTTTTATTTCTTATTTTCACTTCCATAAAAGCATGCGGAAAATGTTGCCGTTTTCCAACCTTCCTGAATCTGATGAAGACAGCACCAAGCTGTCGAATAGGCTTTTATTGGAGCACTGTTTCGCTCTATACAGAGCTACCTCAGGTTGTGACTTGATGAATTTCAACGTAGAGTGAAATGTTATCCTCTCCTAATCTTGTTCTGAAATTTGTGTATTTGGCATCATGCTTGCAGGAGACATTACTTTCCTTCACCTTTGTAAATCCCAAACAGTGTCTTATAAAGTACAAGTGTTAGTTACCATTTTGTCAGAGGCACTTGTCGATAAGACACTTGGCCTGTTGTGTGTATGTGAAGTGAAGTGTACTGAACCTTGTTAGGCACGCATTATGTATTAGTACATACTAATGTACACCCTTTTACTGAATGCAACACATCCGCATTATACTCGTAGTGCACTCTATATCTCACACTATACGACGCATAATGGCATCATTATGCTAGTAGTGTGACCTCGTTGATGTGTCACTATGAATTACTGAGGGCTTATCACATGGTCTTATCATCTCTCAGAGGCTTATCATTTTATTTACGATATTTGTTTATCCGTTACCTGTATGAGAGTGATTACTCACAGGTGAACGCACGCACGCATTCACGCGCGCGTGGGCATACAGGTGCACGGGGGTATTATGCCCTCTTGGCTGATTCGACAGCGGTATTGAGGCTGACAAGGAATTTTTACAAACTTCTGGTTACATTCGGTATACAGTACCGTACCTTTATTTTCCTTCTTTAGTTCCTTACTAGTCTTAAATGTAGACGATTCTTGCAATGTTTCCATTCCAATTTACGAGGCTTGGTTTGAGACCAAGCTTGGAGATGTCAGTATCATCTTTATGTCTTATAATATGATATACACCAGGTATGACTGTTATCCGAAACAAGTAGAGAGGGTATAGATTGCTACTGTGTTTAGAAAGCCTATTGACTGCTAGTTTGCCAGATTAAAAGGCCTAGTGTTTACTACTTTGTTAGCTTAAAAGGCCTCTCGATTGCTACTTTGTTAACTTAAAGTAAGTTTGTTAGCTTAAAAGCTTATTGGTTGGTAGTTTGTTAAATTTTGGACCAGTTGACTGCTAGTTTGTTAGGTTTAGAGACTCGACTACCCGGAGATTAAGTCAGCAAACCACGAAGACACCAAGATCAGTAATACTTTTATCCTTAAGACAGTGACTAAACTCTCACTGAGGGGTATATACCTCTCAGTGAATATACACTGAAAGATATACATCTGTAGTGAATATACGCTACATATATACACCTCAGTGAATTTACACTAGCTATACATGTCAGTGAATATATACTGATATACACACCTTAGTATATGTACAGTGAGAAATATGCAATTCTTCGTGTATATACATAGAGATATATACTTCTTAGTGTATATACTCTGGTGGTGAAAAATGTACACGGGCTCAAAAAATATGTATCAATAAATGGGTGTTGTGTGGATGCGCTCTGACTGAGGCTTATCTAATGTAATCTTGTTATTTCCAGGTTGTGATGTTAACACGTCGATCTCACAAGTAAGTGACCCGGGTGTATTACTGGTATGTCTGAAGACAACAGCAGAATTTTGGTACCAAGGATACTGAAGCGCTGCACATGTCTTTTTCATCTGCCTGGCTGTATTGTATTCCATTAATGTAATGATGGTTGTATGTCTATTGCTGTATGAAATATTGATTAGTGTGTACGTGTGTTCATAGATATTTTTTGCTCTTTGATTTGTGCTCATTGGTTTTGACTGGGGGAAAATAAACAACGAACCAGTAGAAATTCCCTGGGAATACAGAAGCATTCAAGATCTGTGTAAAACATATTCTGCTCTTTCTATATCTGACTACCTATAAGGTAGTAAGATATAGAAAGAACGAAGGAGAATGTTCAGAAAAAGAAAAAAAAGGGTTACTGAATTGCTTGAAAATGAGCAAATGTCACAACAAAGGTAAGATAATGTACACAGAGAGATTACCCATACAGAGCAACAACTAAAATATTTCCACAAGAAGGTGTTGATGCTGGTGAAGAGCCTGGGCTGGGACCAGGCTTGGTGCAAGTTCTCCCTCGACACTGACTTCAGGTAAACGTCAGGTAAACCCTACAAATCATATATCTGGTATAAGCATAAATATCCCAGTCTAAAGAACTTGACAAGGAAATAGACAGCGTGCCCACCTGCAGGTATTCAGCACCTGGGCCTCATTCATAATGAACATATTACAAAGTGCAAGAATAACACTACTAGAAACACTCAGTATCCTTTGGAGAAAGAGCTTAGATCAGGGTGAAATTTCAAAGGCTTTAAAAACTGCAGACAGTGTGATGTAGTTCAGCTGGGCTTGTGAGGTCTCTGGGGAGACCTAATTTAACCAATTATATGGTCACACCTTGCCTTGGCAAACGTCTGTAGCCACGCCCACATCTGAGGTCTTTTGTTCTTGACGGCGTCAGACCTAGGCGTCAGGTCGTACACGTGGTTGTGGAGGGTGCTTGGACCACCATAAAAGCCCAAGGAAGAGCATGACCAGGGGCAGTCGGAGTCTCCCTACGATTCCCGTTGGGGAGGGTAACCTCTACCTGTTCGACAATGTTCGCACATCATGTTAAAATCAAACCAGCCAGTGGTGTTATAAATGATTCCACTAAATTATTACTTGCTGCCGCTATGAGGACCTGCCTACATCTCAAATTCACAGCGATCCACTCACTCAAGGATTCCTTTATTGTCGTCTGCACCGACGACAATGAAGCAGCTAAACTTATGGACGACACTGCTATGAACACATTACGGGACCGACAATTCGTCATATCACCGTCTCCCTCCTTGCTGGCGAAACGTTCAGTTTTTGTTAAACAACTGGATAAGATAATCACATCCATACCAACGGATGAACTGAAGACCTCTATCGAAGACCAAAACACCTGGGCCTCTGTAGACACCATCACACGAATTCCCAATGCCTCATCTATGATCAAAATCACCTTTTCAAACATAGATATGGCTGCCCAAGCACTCGCTAATGGACTAGCTATCTCATATTACCACATACATCCACACCACATTGAACCTGAACGTTTTGACCATGTCTCTCCCTGTTGGAACTGTTACTCTCATCAACATTCAACAAAGGACTGTCCCATTAAAGACAAAAAGTTCTGTTCTACCTGTGGAAAAGAAGGTCATAACTTCAAAGCCTGCATCACCACCAATGCCACTCCAACATGTCTTAACTGCAAGGGTACTCATCATACCCTTGCAGCTAAATGCCCACTACGTAAAGAAGTAATGTCGAAAAAAATTAAAGAAGAAACCAAGAAGAATAGTCCCAAATCGCCGACATATACCGCCATTTCAAAACTCCAGTCGGACACCACCAGAATTCTACAAGCCACGCAGCAGTCATCTCTATCCAGCAATTCCCTTTCTGCACTCCCTGACGCTGCTCCCTCTAAGGTGTTGTACTGCATGATGTATGCACACCTTGCAAATGCAGCAAACCCAGGCACATTCAACACTACAATTAACGAACTATTCCGTCTTAACATGCCGTCATTCAACTTTCCTGACTCGCCAACATCACAGGACTTCCTCAAGATTATCCCAAACATTGCTAACTTCACATCAACTTCAGGCCCAAATCCTAACTCTGCCCCAAAAAACACTCCTGAACCACGCCCAGTGACCACTGCCACCTCTCAACAACCACCAACAACCAGCCAGACCGCAAATACTCTAGACTCCCAGCCTCCTCTTGACACAATCACTGTAGAAACAATTGAACAAGAATTTCCTGACGAATCCCCCGACGAAGCAGATAGCGACGACTCCAGCACACCCTCTTGGGAAAACCTTACTTTCTACACCTCTCCCTCGAACGCTGACACCATGACCTGCTCTGAACTCGACAAAGGCCTCGGTGATGGAACAGTCAAGTATGCCTGCGAATCACCTCTTCACTTCACACTCACGCAAGTTCTTGAGTTCATCAAGCCTCTTCGTTTCATTTTTTTCCAACAAGACAACGCTAAAACCACCTCTCCAGGAGCAGCTTCAAGAAGTTTGCAAATGGCTCCACTGCAAACCTGCCTCCTCAACTACTAAAATAACCTCCCACAAGTCGGCTGCCCTCTGATGGTCCTACCTGCCTGCCCTCTCCTGCGACCTGGAAACTTCCACCTCTCGAGACTCAAAGACCTCACCTACCACGAGACTGTTGCATACACAGCTTGCTCTCTTCCCGTTTTTTCTCCAAGTCTGTCCCACGATCGCCTTAGCTGCTGGGTCAAGCCCTGGCTCTATTTCTACGACTAAGAACACTCCTCTCTAGCGCTTTTCTTCGTCTGTCCCGTCTTCCCCGTTCATCCCATTGGGATCTTACCTGCACTTGCTTGCTTGCTTGCTTGATGACCAGGGGATTCGTGCGGAGCACTGGCCTGGGTGCAGAGCTCCGAGCACAGACGTCGAGAGGAGCTCTGGCCGGTGTGCAGGGCTCGGGAGAAGGCTGCTTAAGTCTCTGGAGGAGACTGTTGGAGGCATTGGGCAGAGTACTGGCTTGGCGCAGTACTCGTGCTGTGTAGGTCTTGGGGCCTGTGGCTTAGTTCCTGTGATGAACTGCCCTCTGAACTATATTGTAAGTTACATTCATTTTGGTCAAGTTGATTGTATTCCCTGTCTCACTGCTTATACATACCATCCCGTTTATCTAAACCTCAATAATGTTCTCCTGTTCCCAAATATATTATTGTACAAGGACTTAATAATAAACTGTGTTTGAGTAGAAGAGTAATATTCACTGTCCCCGTTATTTATTCTTATTTCCATTTATTTATGTTTAGTTAAAGTAGTGAGAGGGTGAGTAGTGTAGTGTGGCCGGTAGAGTAATGAGAGGTGAAGGTGTGTCACCAGTGACCTCACATTACCTACCAACCTCCGCTGATCATCTCTCCTACCACTTCGCCTGCCTGTCCCCTACCTACTGACTCCCTCCGCTTACCCCTGTAATCCCCTAACCAATACCCCCCTACATGACAACAGCTCCTCTTCACAAGACAGTAAAACTAGAAAAAAATACAGACGAGTAGAACTAACATCACACATCATACAGAATCTTTGAAAGAGTTATGAGATGTATGACCTGTAACCCAAGACAACATGAATTTAGAGCAGGAAGATCGTGCTTGTCACAACTACTAAACCGTTATAATAAGATTACGTAGGCTCTGTAATAAAAAAAATCGAATGTATTGTCTTCATGAATTTGGCTAAATCATCAGACAAATTTGACGAGTAAGTCCTTAAAATTAAATTAAGGTCTGTAAATATAAAAAAAAAAAAATAGGAAAATGTATATTATGTTTTGTACCGAATAAAACAAAGAGTATTAGTAAACAAAGTAAACTTTAGATTTAGCAATGTAAAAAATTGAGGAAGTTAAGGTACCGTCCAGGTGCCTTTACTGTTTCTCGTGAGAGAGAGAAATAAAAAAACTAGCCACAGCTTCGTATCATCCTTTGCTGACAGTTCTGAAAATAAATATGAAAGTTGCCTCGGTGAAAGAAAAAATGCAAGTAGATATTAACAAAGTTTTTCGGTGGGCATTGAAAAATAACATGATGTTCGACGGTGACAAATTTTAGTTTGTCAAATATGGAAAGAGTTAATAATTCAAAATAAGCACTGGACACGAAACACAGGAGGACAATCTCATGGAATGAAAGGAACATGTAAAAGACTTGGGCTTAATAGTATCAGATGACCTACCATTTAGAAAACATAAGCAAATGACGTGAATGCCAGAAAAATGACAGGATAGATAATGAGAACTTTCAGAGCAAGAGAAATAAAGCCAATGACGACACTAGTCAAATCACTTGCTCTCTCTAATTCGGTATTGACGGTTCCGTTCAAGAACTGTAAAAGGTACAGAGATTGTTCTACTGCCGCATAGAACCAAGACTTTTCAACCTACTACCAGCAGATATCGGAATTGTACCAACACAAGTGAAGAAGTCGTTAAAGGTAAACTGGACCACCATCTACCTCCGCGAAGTTCCAGATAAACCAGCTGTGATGATAAGCGGGTCTCCACCAACAACAGTCTGGCTGAACAGGCACTCAGCAGAAAAGACTGGCCCGAGGCAGGGTTTCCAGGGTTAAAAAAAGAAATACTTGAAAATGGTCACATATATGTTTTCCAGGACGGAGCAAATTTTATGGTTGAGCGGCGCCTCCATGCATGTCACGACGGACGGTCGTCTTGCACAGTTATGACCAAGCTGGATTATTATTATTATTAAATTCTCACTGCACAGCTGCACCACAGAGTTGAAATGAAAGGTTGTCGACGTTTTAGTCCGTCCTTGTCATTCAGTCTGTCCTAGACTGAATGGTCCAGGACTGGACTTCTTTGACCGGTAATTTAAAGTTCAGTGACTTCCTGCAAGTAGTTGAGGACTGTTTTTTGAAGCAGTTCGTAGGCTAACCTACAAGAGGTAATAATCTGCTTGACCTGGTTTTGTCAAATAAGGAAACTTAATTCAGTATTTATTTTTAATTTTGGACTGATTATATGGTTTAGCGCTTCTTTTTTATTATAATAATAATGGACTGATTATAAATTGTTCCGATAATGGTGCTTTTGTTCTTCTGTATTCAAAGAAAATGCCGAACCATGACCGAGGTCGAGGGAACTGTGTGGGTGGGGAGAGTGATTCAGTGTAGAGAACCAGGAATAACATGACACAACATACACTGTGTTTTATTTTGGTCAGACTATTTATTTTTTATCAGCAGTGCTGGCTGGTTGTACATGTGTCCGCATGTAGCTGTAGTCTTGACCTGTATTCTGCAATGTAAGCTGTAGTCCTTGACCGGTGTCGATGAACTGTACTTGTGTGCTGCATGTAGCTGTATCTTGACCTGTGTGTCTCATGATAGCTGCATCTGACCTGTGTTCTGCATGTAAACTGTAGTATTTGATCGTGCATGTGTCTGCTATGCTGTAGTCTGACTGTGTCCTGCATGTAACTGTAGTCTTGACCTGTGGGTCATGCATGTAACTGTAGTCTTGACCTGTGGGTCTGCATGTAACTGTAGTCTTGACGCGTGTGTCTGCATGTAACTGTAGTCTTGACCTGTGTGTCTGCATGTAACTGTAGTCTTGACGCGTGTGTCTGCATGTAACTGTAGTCTTGACCTGTGTGTCTGCATGTAACTGTAGTCTTGACGCGTGTGTCTGCATGTAACTGTAGTCTTGACCTGTGTGTCTGCATGTAACTGTAGTCTTGACGCGTGTGTCTGCATGTAACTGTAGTCTGACCTGTGTGTCTGCATGTAACTGTAGTCTTGACGCGTGGTCTGCATGTAACTGTAGTCTTGACCTGTGGTCTGCATGTAACTGTAGTCTTGACGCGTGTTCTGCATGTAACTGTAGTCTTGACGCGTGTGTCTGCATGTAACTGTAGTCTTGACGCGTGTGTCTGCATGTAACTGTAGTCTTGACGCGTGTGTCTGCATGTAACTGTAGTCTTAACCTCTGGGTCTGCATGTAGCTGTAGTCGACCTGTGTGTCTGCATGTAACTGTAGTCTTAACCTGTATGTCTGCATGTAGCTGTAGTCTTGACCTGTGTCTCTGTATGTAACTGTAATCTTGACCTGTGTCTCTGTATGAAGCTGAATCTGACCGTTTCTCATAACTGTATTCTTTACCTGTGTCCCTGCACATAGCACCTCCTGGCATGTGAAGCTTTAATTACTGTCCCATGTTGCAACTTGCTGACATGACCTTGCAATATTTGATGCAGAGTCACACATGCCTGCAGTGAATTGCACGAAGAAGTGGTGGAGGAAAACTCAATAAAGAGCTTCATGTGTAGGTATGATAAGTCTCGAGAGGCCTGAAATCAGCAATGTCCACCAAAGCAGTCTAGGAAGTGGGGCCAGGAGCTGAGATTCGACCCTCACAAACATTTGAGTGGGCGGAGTAAGAAGCTGCAAGATATGGATTGGTTTCAGAAATTGTCAAACGGGAGTTTAAGTTTGCCTTACAACACCAGTAAGAGCCTAGTTGATCAGGCCATGATCCACCGGGAGGCCTGGTCAAGGACTGGGCCGCGAGGGCGTTGATGCCCGGAACTTTCCATCCAGGACCACGTGCAACTAGAAAGTCTACCTACCTACTGGAGCGTGTTCCCGGCACGCCCCCGCGGCCCGTCCTGACCAGCTCGCGTAATCAGGACTATCACCAGGCTGATACTGCTGGCCGCACGTAGTCAGTCCAACGTGCGAACCACAGCGTGGCTGATCCGGCACTGACTTTAGGTATCTGTCCAGCTCCCTCTTGAAGACACCCAGGGGTCTGTTGGTAATTCCCCGTATGCCTGGTGGGAAACTGTTAAACAGTCTTGGGCCCCAGACACTTAGGGAAAGGAAACACCAGATAATATAGACTTTTGGAAGTGAGGAATAGCATAGTATTTAATTTCTTCCGAATGTAGAATGATATTTGACGAAGTGCTAAACCCGTGGTGAAGGCTCGATCCTCCGCTTGCTGTTTGCCGCGTGCAGCTCAACGAGTTTGAACATAAAACCTTAAAGGACTGTAGGGCGTTACTTGTGAACGAAAATATCGCGTGAAGCTACGTCAGACTACACCCACTTTTCTGTCTTTCTACCAGACTTTACCTCATCTCCCCCACCTCCCCTCTTTCCCTGTCTACCCTCTCCCCGTCTCTCTATCCTCCTGAAATGTTAATAACAACACAGTAATGTAGTTTTGAGAGAGCATATATTTGTGTGTGTGTGTGTGTTGTGTGTGTGTGTGTGTTGTGTGGTGGTGTAGTGTAATGTAGGGTGAGGACGCCAGTGTGTGGTGATTGTTCAGCTCACCTGAAGAGTGAGCTGGAGCTCAGTGCTACAATGTTTCGCTTGTGAGTGAAACCCGAGCAGGGATAAGACGTATGGGCAAATCTACTTCCACTTGATATCTAGTTCAACCAGCACTAAATATGCCTGAGATTTAGTCAGACTGTTGAGGCCTGGTCACAGACCGGGCCGCGGGGGCGTTGACCCCCGGAACTCTCTCCAGGTAAACTCCAGGTCGCATCCTGGGCAAGGATCTCAGTGGAAATAAGCCACACTGATTTTTTGGTTACCCTGGCTTAATAACCCAAAGACTGGGTTCTCTGTGGTGTCGCTGTGGACACTCATTCCTCATTTTAATAATGATGGTAGAATTACCGACAGAAAGTAAATAGACAAATGCAACTAATTCGACATTTATTTGTGGCAACTTTTCTCTCTCCCGGAGCTAAACGTTGCCATAATACAATATTACGTTAGTTGCATCTGTGTCCGTTTATCAAATATCCTCATTCTACAACGTACGTTCATTTTCTTAGGGATTCCTAACGTCAGTTTCTTAACGTTCCACGTAAACTTGCGAATACTACTTATTTCACACAAATTAGTTTATTTAATAAAATTGGCAAATCAAGACTTAAACCCAAAATCGCTCCCAAGTTTTGTTTGAGGCAGTTACACCCGCGCTAAGAGTTTGAAGCCGACCAGAAGATGTATTCTCCAGTTATCGCGCAGACCCAACAATTGCAGGTTTATTGACTTAATAAATTAACAGATTTACATCACCGTTTTCACAAGTCGCACAAGTTATTAACGATTAAATAAAATCATTCAGAATACACGTAGTTATTTTGCAAAAACAGTCCAGTGTCGTTTAGAAAATATAACTGACGAAACCTTTACACTCCAGTAACAATTTTAACCTTTTTCTAAGTAAGATATACCAGTGGTGAAAGTTTGAAGTCGATCGGAAGGCTTTTTCTAGTTATTGCCTCCCACCAGGCATTAGCGGAATTACCAATAGGCCCCTGGCTGCCTTCAGGATGCAGCTGGACGTACCTAAAGCCAGTACCCGATCAGCCGGGCTGTGGGTCTTAAGTTGGACTCCGTGCGGCCAGCGGTAACAGCCTGGTTGATCACGCCCTGATCCACCGGTCCTGGTTAAGGACTGGATGGCGGGGGCGTTGACCCTTGGAACAGCCTCCACGTAGACTACAGGTAACCCGAAATCGGGAATGGTCTGTAGAAAACTGAGCAGAGGATGTACCCGCACATGTCAACAGTTGCATCAGCATTTCCTGTAGTTGCAGTACACAAGCTTTGAAAATTTAAAGACGATCGGATGAGGCATTCTCAAGTTATAAATGAAAACCTTGGATAAAAAAAATTATGGCAACCACATAAAGGTATCCCTGCGTTGATTCCTAGTGAAGGTAGTGCTTCGAGAATACCTAGTGAAGGTGGTAACGCTTCGAGGATACCTAGTTAGGGTAGCGACTTCGAGGAAAGCTAGCGAAGATACCGCTTGGAGGATACCTAGTAAAGATAGCGCTTCGAGGATACCCAGTGAAGATAACGCTTCGAGGATACCCAGTGAAGATAGCGCTTCGAGGATACCCTATAAAGATAGCGCTTCGAGGATACCTAGCGTAGTTCTCCTCTAAGTGCCTTGATATTACATTTCTTGCCAGTGATTTCTTACAGATTATGCTTAGCTCAGATGTCTCTGACCCTTGTCAAACAGCCAGTGGTGAAGCAAGAACAATTGAAAGGGCT